ATATCATCCCAAATTTGATTAATAATTATAATAAATATTGAATTAATAAAATAATTAGTTAATATATGTAAATATAAAATCTGCTGTGTGGACAGTATTTTGTTGTCCCCACTTCCTTGAATTGCAATGATGCTTATTCTATGTATTTGTATAGTTCAGTATTAATAAAAATGTTTAACTCTGCTGACAGTAGTTTAGTTACCTACCTACTTATTAAAATTTTTTTTCTTCTCGAGATCTACCCAAAAAGCACTCGCGATCCCTGGAGTAAAGCGAAGAGGAATGTGTGAAAGAATTAAACACTTCGGATGGAAATCGAAATGAATATTTAGACAACGAAGACGAGAAGGATCCAACCTGTATATACGACAATAGTCTATATTCGATTCGAGTATTTTTTACAGGTATAATTCAGTTGGGTTATATTAGGAAGGAACTACTACTCCACACAAGGTCAAAGTCCGTCCACTAAACGAAATCAGAGGCTTATTCAACCAGAATAAGAATTATCCATGCTGTTGCCGAAAATGCAATTAGTTAATATATTCAGACACAGGTTAACTTAAGTACTCAACATTCCTAGAAGTGACACGCGAATACGTTGAAACCATTCTACAACGGCCCTTTAAATATTCATTCGGATCGTCGATTAGTGTCATATTTCTTGGGTTGGATGGTTGGGGTTGCTCTTCTCGTTTGTTCTGGGGCACAATGTAGAGTTGAGAGCTCTAGGTGAGTGATAAGAAGTAGCCTTTCCCTCTTTTTATATTCACGGAATGCCTTCGCAATTCAAAGGTTTTACGAATTTTTCGAAAGGTTTTTGGAAAGAATATGGGTTTTTCAAACAGTATGGAATGTTCGGTTTCATTGCATATTAGGAGAAAATACCAAATACCTGTTACAAATGCATTTTTGTTGCCCTTGGATTCGTCTTTAAGGTAGCGACCAATTTTGCTGATATATACATGGGTCACGAGTACATGGATTATAATATCATGTGCACCACAAGAAGGGAGAAACGGTGGAGAATTTTTAAGAGTAGGAGAAAATTGGAAAATTTTTTCGGAGTGATCGGAAAGTGTTTCTGATACCTTCTTTGAGAATAATCTTGTTTATTCTCTACATGATGCGACGAATATATGGAATAAAGACGCTAGGTTCAGGAGGAGTAGAATCCGAATTAAAATATGTGTCTAGAAAGATTTAGAGGTCAATGAGTAATATTTTGGTTTGTGGATTTAAGTATCCGTTCGAGATAAGGATCTACTTTCTATATAGAAGATAGGAGTGAACAAAGATTTTAAAAAACTTATGCCATACTCTTCAGTGTTTAACACTCCCATAAGAATAATTGCTCAAAAAGAGTGGATTCCATTATATTAAGGTGGATAAAAAATCTTATAGATAAGAAAAGTTATTCAAACAATATGCCAAAGGTGAATTGTTACAGTTGATAGCTTACATATCCTGTTTCCCATTTCTCTTGAATACGGAGCCTATAGGCTCTTGAATACCTAAAACTATTTGTCACATTCGTTTTACCATCCAAGTCGCCATCTTATATGTAGCAGTAACTTGATCTTTAAATGAACATACATAACATACCCCATAATCCCTACAGAATACCTAAAACTATTTGTCACACTCGTTTTACCATCCAAGTCGCCATCTTATATGTAGCAGTAACTTGATCTTTAAATGAACATACATAACATACCCCATAATCCCTACAGTGATGCCTGTGGGATATGCGGGAGATTTAATAGTCACCTGCGACTTATCGTAATGTTAATATGGTGGTTGAGGTTAAAATGCGTATGTTATCCTATACGCAGACTGAGATAAATCAGTATCATTTAGTTAGTTTTCAAAAGAAATTGTAGTTTAACCTTCAAAAAAGACACACATATTTTTATCTTGTAAATCCCAGAGAATCACTAAGTTCATGCTAGAAAATTCTAAATATTCCATTTTTGTTCTACTACGTTTTAAACCTTTTCCTCCTTCTTCTTCAAGTGCCGTCTCCATCAATGGAGGTTAGCGGTTATGGTGGCAAACGTTTGTCTATCTTCAGCTGCTCTTAAGAGTTCCTCAAATCCAAGTCCTGTTCAGTTTCTGATATTACGTAACCAGGACAATTTTTTTCTTCCAATTCCTCGCTTTCCTTCTATTTTGCCTTTTATTATCAACTGAGGGATGTAGTATTTCTCGTTGCGCAACAAATGCCCTAAATAACTGGTTTTTCTTCTTTTGACTGTTCTCAATAGTTCTTTTTCTAAATTGAGTCTAGCTAGTACTTCTTCATTTGTTTTTCGTGCTGTCCAAGGAATTTTTAAAATTCTACGGTACACCCACATTTCAAATGCCTCGATTCTATTCAGGCTCTTTATTTTTAAAGTCCACGTTTCGACTCCGTAGAGAAGAACAGACCAGATAAAACATTTTACAAGTTCTAATCTCAATTTAATATTTATATGTGTATCGCAGAATAGAACGCGCATCTTAAAGAAACTATCCCTAGCTTGAGCAATTCTCGCTTTAATTTCTTGTTCTGGGTCCAGCTTGCAATTAATCCAACAGCCAAGGTATTTGTATTGGTTTACCTGTTCTAAAATATTCCCATTTATTTTTATAGGTAAGGGGATATTCTGTTTTCTTTGGATCACCATTACTTTTGTTTTTTTTTTCATTGATCTTCATTCCAAACTCTCGACAAGCATCCTTAAGGTGGTCTATAACCCTCTGTAAGTTTGTGTCTGTATCAGCCAGTAGGACTGGCTGATTGAGTATTTCTAGATGTATGATCATCGATCCTAATCTTGGCACTCTGCCTCCAATATAAGTTCTTAATTAATCGGAGATCTTTACTATCCAAGTTGATGCTCTGCAAGGAATTTAACATTTTATTATGGTTTACGCGATCAAATGCCTTTTCAAAGTCTACAAAACATAGAAAGACATCCTTTTGTTGGTCGTAACACTTCTGCAGCAGTACTTGTAATGAAAACAAGGCCTCTCTGGTTCCCATTCCGGCTCTGAATCCAAATTGATCGTATCCAACTTCTTTTTCACACCTTTTGTATACCCTATTGTGAAGTATTTTTAATAGAATTTTAAGCACTTGGCTCATAAGACTTATTAATCTAAAATCTGCGCATCGCCTGGAGTTAGCTTGTTTTGGAATGGGAATAAAAATAGATTCTAACCATTCCTCTGGTATTTCCCCAGTATCGTAGATTGTATTAAACAAAATTACTAACAAATCAATGTTATTACTTTCGATCAATTTAAGTATTTCAGGATAAACTTCATCAGGTCCAGGGCTTTTGTTGGTCTTTAATTGTTTAATGGCATATTCCACTTCGACTTTTAGAATTGGTGGGCTTTCAGTAACATTATTTATTGTAATGTCTATTCTTTCATCTCGGAACAGCTGTTGTATAAATTTTTCCCATTCTTCTATTTTATCTTTGGTGTTATGAATTAACTCTCCGTTGTTATTTACCAGTGGGCAATGTTGTTTTTTGCGGATGAATGAAAATTCTTTCACCTTCTTGTACATATTAAAGTAATCATGTCTATGTTCTAATTCTTCTATTTCTTTACATTTTTCTTCGAGCCATTTCTCTTTTGATTCTTTTATTTTCCTTCGTATTTCTGTATTTAATCGTTTGTAATCGCGTGTGTTCTTATTTTTGTATTTCCTACTTTCGTCTATCATCTTTAGAATAGCTGGTGTCATCCAGTCTTTTTTTGCCATTAATCGTGTATTTGGAATTTCTTCCCTTGCAGAATTGACGAGGATGGATTTTATTTGTTGCCAAGTTGTATTTGTATTTTGGATATTTATTTGGGTTTGGTCTATTTCTGAGAGTTTTTCATTTAGTTTTACAGTGGTCTTATCTTTAATCTGTACATCTTTTAGTAGTTCCATATTAGGTTTGTTCTTCGGCTTTGCATTTTTTATTACTTTAATTCTTGTGCGAATATTTGCTACTACAGGGTTGTGGTCGGAATTTGCATCAGCACTAGGATATGTTTTTGTACTTATAATAGAGTTACGAAATAGTTGGTTGATTAAAACATAATCTATTTGATTTCTTATTATTCTTTCTTTTGTGTGTAGCGGGGAAGTCCAGGTGTATAACCTACGTTGAGGTAACTTAAACCAAGTGTTTGTTGCTATCATATTGTGTTGCTGGCAAAACTCTAATAGTCTGTCTCCTCTTTCATTTCGTTCTCCTAGTCCGTATTCTCCTACGATATTTTGGAATTTCCCTCTTCCTATTTTAGCATTAAAATCTCCTAGGACGATGTTAATATCTTCTTTCTTTGTCAATTTCATGAGCTTTTGTAGATCTTCATACCATTCTTCTAGTATGTCATCTGGCTTATCTGCGGTTGGTGCATAGACCTGAATAATATTCACATTAAAAGGAGAACTCCTTATTTGCAACAGCATTGCTCTGTCAGAGAGTGGTATAAGGTTTGAAACTGCGTTACTCAATTCATCGTTTATTATTACACCTACTCCATTGAAATGTTTTGGATCATTGTTGCCTGAATAATAGAGTGTTTTGTTCATAATTTTTGTTGTTCCTGAGTTAGGCCATCTAACTTCACTCAGACCTAGAATATCTATATTCAATCTGTTCATTTCTTGGCACACGTTTGCTAGCTTTCCAGCCTCATAGAGGCTTCTGACGTTCCAGGTCGCTACTTTGACGTCATTGTTTGTTTTAGTTTTGTATTTGTTTTTGTTCCTCCCGGGGATTCTTAGCACCCCCTGAACATTTAAGTTCTGCCGGGCACTGGGGGCCATCGATTTAGTTCCATTTACCATCATAACTTTCTTGGGAAAATTAATGAGGTGGTTTCCCATTGCCTTCCTCATGTTTTCTGTCGGGGTTTTCTCCCTTATCCTTTTCCTCCAGTAATAATAAATCAAATATGATCATATGTATGATAAAAAAATCAGTAGGTGCATTAAAATATATTAACAAAAACGTTTAAAAATATATTTGACATAATAATTATACATGTCTCCAACCTAATATTAACTTATTTCTTAGATACTTTGAAACATTTTTAAGTTCATCTCTATCTACCAGATTGTAATTTTCAAAAGCATCCATAGCATGATCGTATAACTCCCTACCATAAACAGTATTCCAGTCGGGTTTGAATGTTTCTTTGGAAAAATCTACCCATTCGGTATATCTATATTGCTCGGTCCTGAGAGAATATCCCATTATTTTGATATCTTTAAGTTTTGGTTGGTCACTGTTGGGAACATTCGTTGGAAACGGACCTGGCCTAGGATATTGACTAAACGCAGATAATGATGGTAGTAGCTGAAATAAAAAAACTTTATCTTTAACATATAAAAGTTTTATATCGTCAAATATAATAAATTTAGATGAGCCATAAAAACTTGAAGAAATGGGAATAGAGGTAACCACGAGGTACAATTTTATCATAGAAAAAAAAGGTAAAACTTTCGACATCTTCCTAGTTCGAGCTGGTATCTCTCGCTGCCTTCAACCTCTTCCTATGATGCCATTATTTGCTTCTTATTATCTTGTTTATTTACGCAGTCCCATGTTAAAAGAACTTGTATGGTATTCGACTTTCATCCAATCTACAAAAATAACATTTCTAATGTGTTTACTGTAGATCCTGTTATAGACCATATTTCACTGGTATATATAGTGACGCGATGCGAGAATACACTCGCGTAGAAAATTCTAAAATGCTTTCAAATACTTTTAGCAGTATTGTTTACACGCGCTTTACATGCGTGAAATTAATAATTTCCTTTTTTTATTGGCCACTTTCGATAAAATCCAGACTAAAAAAAGGAGACATCTGTACGAATAGCGCTAAAGTTCTCTTTCTCTTTGTCAACCATTTTCCATTCACTCCTGAATGTAGGTTTCTCCCAATTGCTTCCATCTTTCTCTATCTTGCGCCAATCTAATCCACTGTTTGCCTGCCACTGCTCTTATGTCATCTACCCATCTTTTTTGAGGTCTTCCCATGCTTCTTGTTGTCGTCCTTGGTCTCCATTCTAGAATTCTCCGTATCCACCTGTTGTCATTATATCGGGCTACGTGACCTGCCAAGCGCCATTTCATTTTTGTAATTTCTTCCACAATATCCCTAATCTTCGTTCTAGGTCTTATCTCGGTGTTTCTAATCTTGTCTCTTAGTGATATTCCAAGGCAGATTTCTAATTTTTAGGCAGATTTTTTGGTAAGTGCTACTGTCTCCAAGCCGTAGGTACAAACTGGTAGTATGCATGTGTTATACACCTTTTTTTAAGTTTATAGGAATGGAGGTGTTTTTCAAGATATGTGCTAGTTTGCCGAAAGCGCCCCAAACCAGTTGTGTTCTTCTTTTAATTTCAGCATCTTGATTTGGTTTTCCTAGTTTGATAACATGACCTAGATATACATAATGTTCCACATTTTTCTATGGTACGATTTTGTATTGTTATATTTGTCTGGTCTCGGCTCAGTATTTTTGTTTTGCTGTAGTTCATTTTTAAGCCTACCGCTCCTGAAACTGCATTTAATTGTTGTAACATATCATTTAGTTCTTGGATATTATCGGCTATTAAAACTATATCATCTGCGAAATCTCAAGTGGTTTAAGTATGATCCGTCGACGTTGATACCCTTATTGTTCCATTCCAGTTTCTTAAAAATATCTTCTAGAGCAAGGGTAAATAGTTTGGGAGAGATGGTGTCTCCTTGTCTTACTCCCCGTTGTAGTCTTATGGGATTAGTTTTTGTGCTTTCGTCCAGCTTTATATGCATGGTGGTATTTTCATATATATTTTTAATTATGTTAATGTATCTTGAATCTATGCGTGCATTTTCTAGAGATTCAAGCACTGCCCATAATTCGATGGAATCGAATGCTTTATGGAAATCGACGAACGCCATATGAATTGGAACATTATACTCGGTGCATTTTTCTATCAGTGTTCTTACGGTGTGCAAGTGGTCTATGGTATTAAAATGTTTTCTGAATCCAGCCTGCTCGATAGGTTGATAGAAATCGAGCTTATGTGTTAGGCGATTGGTTATGATTTTAGTTAGTAATTTATACAGATGTGATAGCAAGGATATTGGTCGGTAATTCTAAGCGATGTTTGCTCTGTTTCCTTTCTTAAATAGTAAAATGACCTCGGAGTTGTACCATTCTTGAGGAATCTTTCCTTCATCAATTACTTTATTAAATAAAACATTTAATACCTGTTCCATTTTTCTGCCACCAATTTTCAACATTTCAACTGTAATCTTATCCTCTCCCGGACATTTATTCGTTTTAAGTTGATTTAGGGCCATTCTTATTTCATAGTCGGTTATGTCCGGTATTTCTTTTGAGCCGGTGTTAATTATTGTTCGTTGAGTACGTCGTTGTTGTGGTTGTATATTTACCGAGTATAGTTTAGTGTAGAATTTTTCAATGGCCTCGCTTATTTCCTTTCTGTCTCTGACGGTGACGTTTTTCTCATTTTTTATTTCTATGATTTTTGTTTTGCCGCTTGAGTTTTTTGCTTTGAGTACTTTCATGTTGCAGTTATCTTGTATTATATTTTTTATTAGATTGTTATTATAGTTTCTATGATTGTTCCTGATTTCTTTTCGTTGTTTAAGTAGTTGTACAACATCTCACCCCTTTCGTTCCTGTTGTCCAGCCCAAAGCGACCGATATATTGTGTGTCGCCGTCTTCTTTTGTACCAATTTTTGCATTAAAATCTCCTGTGATTATTACGAAGTGTGATTTTTCTTGGTTCCTTGCTGTTGTCAGATCCTCGTAGAATGATTCAGCTTCCTCGTCTGTTGAGTTTCCTGTTGGTGCATATCCATGTATTATCTATAAGCTGTATCTGCTGTTCAAAGCGATGACAAGATATATGACTCTGATACAGCACAGTACTTCGTTATTTTATAGGGAGTTCGTTTGTTTATTAGGAACGCTACTCCCCTATGTGATTATTTTCTACGGAGTTTTTCTGGTATAGTTGGTGACCAGATTTTAAGATGGTACATGCTTCTCCTGGTAAGCGAGTTTCGCACAGTCCAATTATATCTCATTTGATATTTGAGAGCTCTTGTTCTAGTTCGTCAAGTTGTTCTTGGGTCCTCATAGTTCTTATATTGTAAGTGGCTATACGAAGCAATGGTGGGTAGTTTTTCTTATTAGATTCAGTCGAATATTTGCCTCCCCCAGAATCCATGAGGCTGACTGATTGCTCAGTGTGAGATTCTGAGTGTATAACTCTACTCACCTGGGGTAATTTCGTATTGATACTCGACATCTTCAACTTTAAGTAGGTTTTAGCATATTTAAAACGCCACGCTTGCCGAGCGGGTTGGCGAGTGATTCTATACAATCCCTAAAATCAGGGGATTGCCACTTCCGCCATCCACGCCGTACCGAAGGTATTCTTTTCCGCCGTGTCTGCCGTTGTGGACTTCATCCGTGATCCTGGACAAGGGACCCTAAGCAGGTACTAGTTTCCCGGGTCAGGAAACCCCTGAAATCTACGGAGGGCAGGGATTGATTCATTTTCCCCGATAGGACTATCCAGAGGAGTTCCTACCCGCTACCCGTAAAAGAGTAAAGCTACCCGCGCTAAAGTTACCCACCCACAACTTAAAAAATCTTGAGACAAAATATGCCCTACAAGCTTTAGCAGTTTGTGAGACTGTGCAGTGAGACTGTGAGACAATAATATATTGAGCAAACGAGTGGGAATATTAGTTTTAGATGATGTATTCTGGGTAGGAGTGTTAAGCCGTTTAATTTAAATAACTCCATTATTGAATATATTACCAAACTAGAGTCAGATGAGTTAAAACTAAGCCTATTAATAGAATGTATCTATAGCACGGAAAAACATGTTTAAGCAGTTTTACCTTCAGGGCTCCTTACAAAACAAAAAGAGCAAAATTTAAAAGAATTTTTAGGAAAAACAAAGTTCACTGCTATAGACCCAATACATTATCAGTAGTAATATCCCTAGGACATTGATAACAGACGAGATAATTTCATGACAATCGAAAGCTCGTTCCGTGGTAACAGCACGAAGCCGAAGGCTGAGTGCTGTTACCAAGCAACGAGCTTGAGAAATTTGTCATGAAATTATGAGACATTCATCAATGTCCGAGGGATATTCGGCGGATAATTTTTCGAAAAAAAAATCATAACTCAACATAACGAAACATTTATTTATTAAAAGTACAGTTAGTGAAAGTACAATTATTAAAATTTAAGTTAACGTTAGATTCGTTGCTGTTCTCTACTATGGAAGATCTATTACCACGCATAATATTTATAATCTTGTTGTGGTGTTCTTGATCGAGATTCAAGTATGGTTTTATAGAAACGTGACATTTTGAAATTTATTTGGATGAAGTTGTCAAACTCGATCGTGTTGTCATAGGGATTGAAAATTGCACTGAATGCAATTATCAGTCTACTGTTGACATGATTGGGTGAAATTGTTCCACATGACACAAAATGACGAAATTTTAATGGTTGTTAGAACAGTCGAAAAATTATCCAGTTAATATATTAGATCCGCGTTTTAATGGTGTTCATTTGACAAATTAGTAGAAAATTCGTGGTAATAAGTTTTTAGTATGGTCAACATGTGTCTCAAGCGAAAGGTTTATAACCAATGTGTTTTACTTGAACAAACTTATGGAGCAGAGACTTTACCACTCACGCAAAAATCTGCGAATAAACTCAGAATTACACAACGAGCCATGGAACGTGCAATGCTGAACGTGAGCCTTCGAGACCACATAACAAACCAACAAATTAGGCAAAGATCAGGAGTTCAAGACGTCATCGAAAGAACCACGTCGCTTAAGTGGAACTGGCAGGGCACTTAGCCAGAGCACAAGATGGACGGTGGACAAGACGTATTATGGAATGGAGGCCCAGAAACTATAAAAGAAGCCGAGGACGACCACCGACTAGATGGACCGATGATATAAAACGTGTAGCGGGAAACTGGCTACAAGCGGCCCAGTGTAGAGAACACTGGAAAGAACTGAGGGAGGCCTATGTCCAGCAGTGGACGCGATTGGCTGATTGATGATGATGGTCAACTCAAAATACCTAGATGACTCAGCAAGTTAAGTGGCAGAATTTTGCAAAACCATAGGTTCTAAAATCCGTGATTACGTTAGAGCTTTGGTGGAAAGGAAGCTATGTTAGAACAAAATTAAATAAATTGGCAATTCAAATTTTGGGAATTCCTGTGACTAGCGGAGCTACCGACACAAGCTTTAATACATAGGGTTTCATTTTCATACATTATTTAACAGTTACTTTTCATTATCATAGTCATTAACATCTTGGCAGATGTGTTGTGGTTCATCATTAAGCTTCAGCAGCTCGGATAGTCTGATTAAAGATATTTCACCACTGGTCGCGGTCATCTGTTAGATGTAATGCCTCAGTATACTGCTTGTTGTGAAACGTTTTTGTAACGTTTGCCTTCCTTGGACCACCAACCTCTCCATTTTGTGATCACTTCAAACAGTACTAGAGATACGCTGACTGGATTTAATTTCATCTAGAACCGAGATATTCGTACGGGGAGCCGTCGATGGAATTTCAAAAGCGTCTATGCGTCTTCTATCTGATTCTTTGACTGTCCATGTCTCGCATGCATAGGAAAATATAGAAAAGACCAGAATTGAAACGAGTTTCTTCTTGTTTGTCATAGTAATGTGACGATCACGCCAGAGCTTCAAGATATATCATAGAGGAGACAATCTCAGGTTTCAGGAAACTGTTGTTGGCGATCGATCACCATGATTTTGGTTTTGTTGTAGTTACTTTGAGTCTAAATTTAGCACTTTCCACCTCGAGTTTTTTTAATGAGTTAGTAACTTACAAATAAAGTAGGCGGCATCTTGGCGTGTTGTACTCGATCAAACGCTTTCTCGTAATCAACCAGACATGCGTATACGTCGCAGTTGACGTCTCTGCATCTCTGGAATAAGCCTTGTACTGAGAACAAAGCCTCTCTAGTACCAACAGCATTTGTGAACCCGAGCTTGTTGGGGGAAATTGGACTTTCACAGAGCTTGTGAATTATATTTAGGAACAATTTTAGAAGATGACTCATGAGGCTTATAGTACGGTAATCTTCGCATTTGTTGGTATTTCTCCAGAGTTGTACATGTTGTTGAATATGTTTGCGACTATTGCTATTGATTCGTTGTCCATTAGTTTGAGTAGTTCTGCTTGTATATTATCAGGGCCTCCCGCTTTGCCATCCTTTAACTGTGTTATTGTGGAATAAACTTCCTACTGTAATATTCTTGGTCCATCAATTACCACTTCTTCTAGCTCAAAGGTGTTATCTCTTTGGTATTCAAATAGTTTATCTAGATATTCTTTCCATGTTCTTATTTTACTCTGTTTGTCCAAGATGATGTTTCCGTCAGAATCAGTTATATTGTTAAATAATAAGGAGGATAAAACGCATCATTGGGGTATTCCCTTCTTTAAAGTGAATTCGTCAGATATATATCCGTTCATTGGAATATATGCCAGGTTATCTTGATACAGTTTGCTAGTAAGGTGAGTCAAGTGTTTAGGTACACCCATTATCGTCAATATGTTCATAGTTTGTCCCACATAACATTATCAAATGCCGTATAATCAACAAAACATGTTTTTTTCACTTTATAAGTGAATTCGTCAGATAGGTGTATCCGTACATTAGAATATATGCCAGGTTATCTTGATACAGTTTGCTAATAAGGTTAGTCAAGTGTTAAGGTACACTCACTGTCGTCAATATGTTGCATAGTTTATCCCATCTAACATTATTAAACGCCTCTGTATAATGAACAAAACATATAAATATCGGGATCTAATATTCTCTTGATTTTTCTATGATGTTTCTTATATTAAGGATTTGTTCTCTAGTACTGGCTTTCACAAATCTAGCATGCTCAGATGCTATTTGCTAACTTATGAAGTTTTCTAGTTGCAGGATGTACAGAACCACCTTTCTAGCGTGCGATATTAGGGCTAGTAGCCTATAGTTGTTACAATTATTTGTTGTACCTTTCTTATGTAGAGATATGATTATGGTCTGTATCATATGGAAAGCTTTATCGGTTACTGTTACAGCCCATAATTTAAAAAATAGCGAACCACTACCAGGCATCAGCAATGTTCAGGCGCTCCAATTATGAAGAAGAGAACCCATCTATTCGGCGCAACCATTGAATATATAGAAGCAGTGAGAATGGTAATACAATCTGACTATAGTGATTGGTTGAAGTCGTCCACTGCAGGATGAAAATAGTGATCTCGACATTTTTTTCTGACCCAATTTTTTTTTCAACTTAATTTTGTTTGATAAGTTTATTTTATTATTATTTATTCTTTTCAGAAAATGAGAATATTTTGTTTTTTTTTATTTGTTCCCGAAGATGGAACATAAATTATTACATTTTATATTGTATATGTTCAATAAGATCTTAGATTTTGCATTGGTTTTGATACGTTTGGTAGATCTTTTTCAGAAAATTCTTATTATCGTGAATACTCTCAATTTTTTTTATATCGATATCGATTCAAATTTTATTATAAATTTTAAAGTAGATGTCTTTAAACTCATATTGTCAATATTTTTGAGGTACGTTCCTGTAACGACTTTATTGGAAGATTGTTCATTTGATTACTGAGTTAATTTGACTGTAAATAAGATGAATAAAATTATACACCAAAATCTCATAATCATAATCAGGAATTTAAGTTTCAAAAGACTAATAAATATGGTGATCGATTCTACCAAATTAAGGAACAGTACATAGTCATATCGATATACGAAAAGAAATGACATTCAGTTAAAATAAAATTACATAATATTTGTTCTTTTGAAAGAGGGAGAATTAATAGTATTTAGTATAATAGTAGCATATTTAAAACATCTATAAAGTATTAAATGACGTACCTTATATCCTTTTTTCTTGACCATGAAGGGTACTAAACTTTTGCCTTCAGTACACAACATTTCGGATGCTTTTTCTGGACATGTCTTTAGTGGACTAGACACTTGAGTTAAGTCCACAAGTGTAGGAAATATATCTACTAACTCAACAGGCTTTTCAACTATTACCTTAGTTGTCGAAAGTCCGGGAACACGAATTAATAGAGGAACTCTGGTCGCTACATCGAAGTTGCTGTATTTAGCAAACTCTCCGTGTTCTCCAATTGACCAACCTAAAAGTAAAACTGATATTGTAGAGAAGCAGCTAGGACAAGTTTTTACTTCAATATAAGTTAATTTTTATTATGTTAGTTCACATGAATCTTCCACAAGAATCTAGAATCAACTTATTATTAGAGAACCAAGATTTAGTGGACGTGACTCTTGCCGTGCAAGGAAAATATCTAAAGGAAATAAAATTCTTCTTTCGGTTTGTAGCCCTTATTTTAAAGAACTTTTTAAGACAAATGCCTGTCAACAACCGATAGTATTTATGAAAGCCCTTGAGTTACGAAGCTTTAAGTACGTAGTTACTATACACAGAGACATGACAATTTATAAACATAATAATGTATAAATATAAGAGAATACAAGAAACGATCTAATAATTTCGAACTAATAAAAGAAACCAAGTGGAAAATATATTATAAAAAAACTTTTGGAAGAGAATCGAAACCAATATCAATACTGAGAAGAAATACAAGAAAATCTAATGGATTTGAAAATAAATTACTTAAAAGGTCAAGATTAAGCTAACCAGGAAATACCACGACAGATCTGATAAAGTTATAATCTCAAAAAAACTTTATGATATAAATGATAACCAAGTTATTTTATAAATGCATTAATACTGCAAAAACACCACAATAGTGGAACATAGAATTTTAAACATCAATAAATAAACTGTAGGTACAACAATGAACTCCACCAACTGTTCAAAGAGGCACCGATCTCAGAATTCGTTAAACTTCAGAGACTTCGATGGGCTAACCATGTAGTGAGAATGAAGTCCGAAAGATTGCCGAAAAGAGCCCTAGATAGTAAAATGTAGCGCACAAGTCCAAAAGGAAGGCCACGGAAAAGGTGAGAGGATGAAGTGGCAGCGGAAGCGCAAAATTTCAAAATTTGCTAGACGTGAGAACCTTGAGAAGACTGGCGCGGCATAGGAAAGGTTGGAGACAGAGTTTGGAGGAGGTCAAGGCTCGATTTGGGCTGTAGTGCCGTTGATGAGAGAGAGAGAGAGAGAGAGAGAAATAAATTGAAGATCGGATAACATGCGATAATTGCATGGACATGACAGTAACACCAATGTTTATATGCAGATTATAGGCAAAAATTTAAATAAATAACTGACGTCTAGTATAAACAAGAAGCAGAAGAACAATGTGGGTGCAGAGCGGGACATACGTTTTATATTATTTAAATCAGCAGCCTGGAAACAGGAATTTAATCCTGATTTTTGTGTCGTTTCGAATGATAACAACGGTTGACCCCTATCAGTTTCACGAAAAGTCCTTTCTGAAACAAACAGTCAGCATCGCCCAGTTATAGTTGAGGCAGATACACAAATACCTTTAATTATTTCCAATCCACGTCCAAGATGAAATCTCAAAAAAGCCAATTAGACCAAATTCTCCATATAACTAGATAAATGCTCAAGATGGATTCCCCAACTAGCAAAAACTACAAAAGATTTTATGGTGCTGTAATAAGCACGGCTAATACATGCTACCACATGGAATATATTCGTGGATGGACCCAGAACAGCCAACCTATGTACCAAGCGTTTCTACAAACCAGTGGTCAAGAAGTAACACCACGAACTAATCCACAGCCTAGATACAGCGACAGAGGAATGTGGGCGGAAACTGTTAGTAGTCTTAAACTTCCAAAGATCGAGTAGAAAAGCTTGGAAATTCCTAAGAAGACTGAGAAGTGCTGCCCCTCACGAAGGAATCTATAAATACTTAATCGAAACGTCGTCGCTTCACATATACTACCAACATTCACAGCGTCAAAAGAAAAAGCTCACACGATTAATATCAAACGAGATCTTAAATCCCTTAAAGCTAGAGTCACGGAAAGAGAATACTTCAGCCCCTTCACGTACCAGGATTTTCAAATGCTCTCAAGAACCTTAAACCACGAAAAGCCTCAGGTTTCAATTGTTTTTGGTCATTTTACGTTAAATTAGAATCAGTTTTTAAAGAACTGGGGCAAGTATACAAAAGTCTGGTTGTTTCGATTCTTTACAGACATTATATGACAACCGGTACTGTCCCACATGAATTCAAGCAATCAAAAATAATTGCAATCCTAAAACCAGGAAAACTACATGATAGTCCCAAGAGTTACAGACAAATAGCTCTGCCGTCTGAAACATATAAGCTACTAGAACCGCTAATTTTTAACATAATCAGCAAGTGTCTCTTCGAGATGATTTCTGTTGAACAAGCTGGGTTTAAACCCAAAAGGAGCTGTGCAGACTAAATCCTATCAGTCACCAACCACTCATAATGACATTATTTTAGTATAGATCAAGGAATACTTATCATATATGATGAGGAAGCTAAAAAGGAATACCAAAAAGAAAAAATTGTCGATGAGCTTAAAAAACCAAAATATACGTATATAGGACAAGGAACAACGGATGAAGATTCACAGACGACCTATACATATCTCACAAATATAGGAGAAAAAAATACCCACTACAAAACTACTTAATGTAAGAACAATATAGATTTAAAAAATACCATGATCTGAAGTCAACACCACAATGGTGTCTTTATCTGCATATGACACTAAGTTTCCAATTAAATCGTCAATATATGTCACTGAAGCATAATAGGCTTGCTTAATTTCTTTTATGATATCATCAGGCATGGGTCCAAAAGGGAATGATACGTTCAGTTGCCTTATATCATCTCTTCTTCTTATATCTGTCCATGGGTTCCAAGCTACAGTAGGTAAAGATGTTGGTCGCCATCTGTTAGTCGGAAGTGATACATTATCGATCGGATGGTATTCTGGAATAAATATTTTAGGTTATTACCGACCGAACTAGTCGAATAACAAATAACATTTCTGACATAGTGTAGTAGATACAAGATAGTGGAGATCCTGTATACAAGCAAAATGCGTTATTGTACACATGACAGATGTGACGCTGCGTTTTACGATTATTAAAAAAATTGAACCAGTCTAGTGTAACCAATGCGAGTATGGAGTTGGAAGAGTTAACTTGTCTTTGGTATACCGTAGATACAAGGCAAGGGAAAAAAGACAACGAAGATTGTAGGTGCACCCTGCAATAGTTGACAGATTAACCATGGGCTAATTTGTGACGCTGTACCCAAAATTGAGGGAATACCCTCCAAAGTTTTTAACTGCTTCCGTATGAGTATAACCTCTTTTGATGACGTTATTCTTTAGTCAAAGATGATTTATTACCTTGTGAATATGTAGTGAGGGATGAGATTTCAACAGAAGAAAAACTCGTCGTAACATTAAGGTATTTATTCATATCAGACAAGCATGAGTTATTTTAAGAAACACTGCTGTCCGGTGGACAGAGGGCTGCTCCTACTAACATAGATTGCTGTTGGTGATTGGCTGCTGTAACCGATGTACACGGATAAGCTTTTTGTATTGAGGGACGTTTGGACGAGGGTTTATTTGCTGATTGGACAGATGTGTGAAAGGTTGTAGAATTATTGAGCCCTCTGAATGACTTCTAAAAGCTGTATTTTTGTTCCGGATCCGTTCATGGTCAGGTATTTTTGTAGCTCCGTATACAAAGACGAACAAAATAGTGTGTCATCATCTTCTTTTGGAATTTCTGTTGAACTTTGTTCCCTAAGAGCAACATTTTTATCTAAAATGTTGCTTTATCTTAAACTTTTTGTTACTACGAACTTTTACTGTTACAAACTGTAATTTTGTTAGGGACCGTAGTAGGTTTCTGGAACTTTGACACGTTGATAGAAGATATATGGGTTTGAATTAATTGCCTCCGAACCGGATTTTAAAGTTTTTTGTTTCTTTAGTGCCCTTGCAAAGTTGTCTCGTCAACATTTTTCCGTTTTTCTGCAACGGAGTTCCTAAAACAAGGAAGTGAAGGTGACTTAATAAAGATGATAAAAAAGAGAAAACTCGAATATCTGGGGCATATAATGAGGGGAAGCACATACAGGATAATGCAGTTGATACTCAGACGGAAAAAGAGGAATTGGTAGGAAGAAATACTCATGGCTCCGAAACCTTCTTCAATGAACTGGCTTATCAGCAGATGAATTATTACATGCCGCGCAAGATTGAGAACGATATCGGCAAATCGTCATGGAAGCTACCCACGCCTAAAACTTGGGCACGTTACTCAAAGAAGATTTGTTGATGACGTGTCCTTACGTAGGAAAGCATGTTCCTAATGTAAAAAAATCTTCAAATATAGGTTTTCAATTATTTTGGCGTGTTGCGTTCTACAAAATTATGTCAGACGTCAAGATGGTGTCAGGGAAGAAGAGACTTATGTACTATCAAACACCATTTGAAAGTATTGGCGCAGGACGAGTATCTCAGACAAGTAACTACACAAGAATTTTGAGGGACAAGTTTGCACAGCACTTCGTTAAGCACGGAAAACTCCCATGACAAGACCGTATGGTGTAATGGTCTTTACAATGTACACTAGGATTAGGGTCAATATGTTGTGTACACAAAACACACACATATTTCCTAAGTGTAGGTACTATGTTCTATAACAATATTGATATATTAGTGTTTTATGCATGCTTCATTGATTACCATAAAGCATTTGATACAGTAAACGACAAGCTGATGGAGATATTAACAAATATTGAAATAAACACCTGTGATCTTAGAATTATTAGCAATCTTTACTGGAATCAAAGATCGTCTAGCCGTACAGAGGCAGGAGAATCCGATGATATCAAAATCAAACGTGGGGTCAGACAGGGATGTATACTATCACCCTTGCTGTTTAACATATACTCTAAGAAAATCTTTCAAGAAGCAGTAGAAGATGTTCAAGCCGGAATTCGAATTAACGGAGAATGTATCAATAACATAAGATACGCGGATAACACGGTGGTATTCGCTGACAGTTATGAAGCCCTCCAGGAGTTAATGAATAGAGTTACAGAAGTGAGTCAGAGATATGCACTTTTACTAAACATTAAGAAAACAAAATGTATGATCATCTCTAAGAAGGAACAGCAAATTGAAAGAATCAGTGTGAATGGTCAACTAATTGAAAGAGTAAAAACATACACCTACCTTGGTACGAACGTCAATGAAAATTGGAGGCATTCCCTAGAAATAAAATCTAGGATAGAGAAAGCAAGATCTGCATTTCAAAAATGGCTAAGCTATCAAATGCCACGATTTATTAGTACCTATAAAAATCAGGTTACTACGATGTTATATCTATCCTATACTGTTGTACGAATTTGAGTGCAACAGATGCTACTTGCAAGAAAATTATGGCTTTCGAAATGTGGCTTTCTCGTAGAATCCTGAAGATATCCTATATGAACCACGTTAATAACCAGGACGTTTTATTAAGAATGCAAAAAGGAAAAGAGTTGTTAACCACAATAAAAACAGCCAAAATTGAATACCATGGACACATCATGATGAACAGCGAAAGATATGGGTTGCTGCAATTAATTCTACAAGAAAAAGTAGAGGGAAAACGAGGGACCAGGAAGAAGAATTTCCTAGCTGAAAAATCTACGTATGTGGTTCAACACAACAAATCTTTTCAGAGCCGCAGTTTTCAAAATACAGATTGCCATGATGGCTGCTAACATATGAAACGGATAGGCACTGCAAGAACAAGAAGAATTGCTTATGTTACGATTTTAAATATTATTGCGCATAAAACTGTAAATACATTATGACTAATCACGTATTTTCTAGATCACGCATCGACCGAGACGCAGGTAAAAAACCTACCTGACACTATGGGTCCCCCTTCGATATGAAAGCGGTCAACTACTACTTGACCTTTCTGGAGACAGGCCGCCATATAAAAACCAGTTCGAGACTATTCAGGTCAACTTCCGTCTACTTCATGCCAGATCCTTCCAGAGAACGGCGTTTCAAATAAATAACGGCGATTCTCATTGAGGAGAGTTAGTCAACAAGAAGATCGCGGATATCGGGTTAAAATTGTATCGAACGCAAATAAATTATTTGTAATTATTAAGTGTAAAATAAATTCTTCTTCTTTCAGTGCCTATTCGTTCCGAATATTGGCAATCATTCTGGCTATAATTATTTTATTAACTGATGCTTTAAATAGATTCGTTGTTGTTGTGGAGAACCATTTCCTCAGGTTCTTCAACCATGATATTCTCCTTCTCCCAATTCCTCGCTTTCCGAATACTTTACCCTGTAGGATTACCTCCAGTAATCTGTATTTAGTGCTGTTTCTCATTATATGTCCGAGATATTCCAACTTTCTCCTTTTAATGGTATACATCACCTCTCTTTCTTTGCCCACTCTTCGTAATACGGTCTCGTTGGTTATCTTGTCTGTCCATGATATCCTTAGAATTCGCCTGTATAGCCACATCTCGAAGGCCTCAAGTTTTTATTCCATTGCTTCAGTTAGTGTCCAGGATTCAACTCCGTAATACAATATTGAGTTGAATCCTGGACACTAACTGAAGCAATGGAGAAAAAACTTGAAGCCTTCGAGATGTGGCTAAAATAAATTAGTATAAAATAAAGACTTTTGATAAATTATCGTGAGTTTTAATAAATTAGAATAAAGACAATAAATTAGGACTAATAAAAACATTATACTAACTTTAAAAATTAGGTCAGGTTACAACAAACCTGACAAAAATTTTTTTTTAGAAATATGTGATACTTTGTAGTACAAATACATTGCCTTAATTAAAATTTTTATTGTTACTTAAATAAATTTTTTACACTACCTATTCTAGATATATTTTCCTAAAGCGGTCTTCTCTTCTTTTGTACTGTTTTCTCCTGCAAAAATATCCGCAATCTCCTGCTAAGCAGACTTTTTTAATACTTTATTTTTGTAATCTGGACACTTCATGTCCTAGATGAATCACCGTTATCACCTTAATTGTTAGCATGTACACGACTGTTAACACACGACAAACTAACATTTTCTAGTGTTAACCATAACCATAACTGCATCAAAGCAGTTAGCATCGTCTGGAGACCTTGGAGGCCACGGCAAATCTCCGAAACGTGAAATAAGTTGTCCTGGGAACAGGTTGCAGAGAATATTCATTAAAACATGGGCAGTATATGTCGGGTTTATCCCTTTTCTGTGTCGTTTTGGAACCAAAAAATTTTGGATTATGTCAACGTAGCGCATAGAATTAACGATGACGGTATGGCCAGCCTCTTCGAAAAAATATGGCCCAATAATGCCAGTCGGATCAATGGCAATCCACACTGTGACTTTTTGAGAATGTAAAGGATGCTCATGGACATTTCGTGGGTTTTCAGGAGCCCAGTGCCTGTAATTCTGCTTATTAACAATTTCGTCTAAATGTAAATCAGCTTCGTCGCTCATTAGGAGATACTGATCGAAGTTATCCTCCAAAAGAACTTGCATTCTCGTAGCGAAATCCTTGCATTGTTCAATTGCCCTTTGCATTAATTTTTGGACAATCTGCAATTTGTAGGGGCGAAATTTTAGGTCTTTATGCAACATTTTTCTAAACGATTCCCGAGATTAATGTTTAGTTCAATTACATGTTTTCGAGCGGACTGTGTAGGGCTTCTGACGATAGCATCTCTCATTCACTGTATGTTTACAGGAGTTCATACTGTTCCATTCGGACCTTGTTGCTTTTTTTTCATGACACTGCCTGTTGCTATAAAATTCTTTATCCATCTTAAGATTGTGTTGCGAGATGGAACCGCTTCACGACTACCAATATTAAAGTGAGTGCGAAAAAGCTGCTGCATAGTGATCACTAATTCTTGATTTCGAATAAATCTATCGTATGCAAAT